AATCTAACAAATATTTTTTAAATTAAGAAATTATATTTAACAAAATATATTTCTTTAATTTAAAGAAAAGTCGAAACACTATTTTTGTGAAAATTGGCATCTAGGAGTTTTTCAGGATTACGAATCCGCTATCAGAATCATTAATCTGGAATTTAAAATAATGAATAAAAAATGTGATATTTATTCCAGACAGCATACAATATTTATGATAAATATTTATTTCGAATTATTTCTTAAAAATATTATATAAATATTTATAAAAATGTATATAATATTATGTAAATATTATAAATATTTATATAATATTATATGAATATTATAAATATTTATATAATATTATATAAGTATTATAAATATTTATATAATATATAAATATTTTATAAATATTTATAAATACTATGGGTAATTATCGACTTTAGGGAAGACAGCTCCAATGACCTTGATCTTGACATATGTTGTAGAGGTCACCTTCCTGAGTAACTCTCAAAAGGTTTTAGCCGTCGCTCGTTGTTTGTTAAAAAGTTATTAACAAAAGAAGTTGCATAAAATGAGTATAATTTTTGGACATATATACAAAAACGATATTGTGTACCGTTAACGAGCAATATCGAATAATAACTGCAATATCGAACGACTTGCGGGAGGCTGCGCCTCCTTAAAACTAACCTAACCCAACTTATCGTTACATTAACCGTCAGTCATTGTTTATTAAAATGTTCAACTTTTGTGTTAATGTGACGATAGGTTGGGTTAGGTTAGTTTTGAGAGATGGTGCGGGGGACACAGCCGCCCGCTAGTCGTTCGATATTGCAGTTATTATTGTTGGTGTAACTTAACCAGTAAATAACATAATAACATAACAGTTTTATAACATAGTTATATCGCAATTATAAAGGAAATTAAGTAACCTCAATATTAATAACGTATAACAGCAGTTATATTACATGTTATTCCTGTGTTATATCACAGTTATGTTCTGTGTTTGCTGAGTATAATGACATTTTTCAACATATTTGAGACATTCTAAAAATATGCCCATTTCTGGGACAAATAATTTATATTTTCTGTTTATTGAGGACAATAATTTTTTAAATTTTATTCACTTTTTGCGCGGAGGTTAAAATTAATATTTTTTAACAGCCTCCTTTATGTAACTTCATATAAGCGCGGAAAATTATCATGTTTAAAAAATTTTTCTTTTTCAATTTTCAAGAGTAAGATCTATATGTTAAGGAGCATTTGCTAAAGAACCCTGCAAAATCCTTATAGAAAATGGTTTTTGGTCAAATTTTCTGAAACTGTGCTATATGATAGTTCTTGATGTGTAGATTAAACAGTGTCAATGAGTGCAAAGTCTGAATAATTATAGTTTTTGAGTTCGAAGTTGGCGTTTTTGTGCATTTTGCGGTAGTATTAGGCAGTATAGCTGCACTGCTGATCATATAAAGTGGAATGGGAGCGTATATATTCCTACACTTATACGAGGGCTGTATGATAAGTACCCATGTTAGGGAAGGAAACGCATTCTTTTAAATTTTTTACTTATTTTTCAACATAGTCTCCTTTCAGCTCGATACTTAATCCAGCGATATTTCAACATTTTTATACCATCCAAAAAATATGATTTGTTGAACTCCGCAAAATAAGCCTCTGTTTCGGCGATGACTTCCTCGTTTGACGTAAACCGTTTTCCGCCAAGCCATTTTGTCATGTTTGGAAATAAATAGAAATCGCAGGGGGCCAAATCTGGAGAATAGGGTGGATGAGACAGCAATTAGTTGCGTAATTCGACTAGTTTTGCTGTGACGATTGCGGACGAATGAGCTGGTGCGTTGTCATGATGAAGAGCATTTTTTTTCGCCAAATGGGGCCGTTTTCTCTTCAATTCAACGAATCGGCCCAATAAATCAATATAGTACTGCCCCGTGATTGTCCTTCCCTTCTCCAAATAGTCGGTGAAAATGATGCCTCGCGAATCCCAAAAAACGATGGCCGGCCTTTCCGGCCGGTGGAACAGTTTTTGCCTTCTTTGGAACAGGTTCGCCGGGTGAAGTCCATTGTTTTAATTGTTCTTTCGTTTCTGGCATATAGATGGATCCATGTTTCGTCAACAGTGACGAAACGCCGCAGAAACTCTTTCGGATTGCGCTTGAACATGTCCAAACAGTGCTCCGAAGTTGTCATGTGATTCCGTTTTTGTTCCACTGTAACCAAACGCGGCACCCATCTCGCCGATAGCTTTCTCATCCCCAATTTTTCAGGTAGGATATTTTGTACACGTTCAATTGAGATATTTACAATGTCAGCAATCTCTCTGATCTTCACCCGGCGGTCTGCTAACACGATATTATGGATTTTGTTGACCATATCCTCCGTAGTCACCTCAATCGGACGATCTGGGCTCTTCATCAAAAACAGATGTTTGGCCACGCTTGAACTCATTGAACCAATATCTGATGGTAGTCATCGAAGGTCCATGATCCTTATAAACGATATGCAACTTCACTTTGATTTCCTCACACGTCTTCCCATCCAAAAAAAAGGAATCGAAGCACTGACCGATATTGCTCTTTTTCCATGGTTGCAAACAAAAAGAAACTTGTCCACTTTTAACAGTTATCAAAACTACTCGATAAATCTGTCTGAAATTTTGACTGGCGTCGTTCGGGAGATGGCGTTAAATGATGATATACAGACTTTGAGTCAGTGACACCATCAGTCATTAAACACGGGTACTTATTATACAGCCCTCGTATACGAATATATATATATATATATATATATATATATACAGGGTGTTCAAAAAGTCCCGGACCGGTGAAATATCTCGAAAACTAAGCATTTTAGAAAAAAATGTTTCAGATAAAAGTTGTGGCGTTTAAAAAGATGTATTTACTGATCACATCAGTTTGACCTTGGGTTGCGTAGCGAAGGTCAGGTCAAGGTCACATTAATTTTTTTAAATGGAACACCCCATTTTTCATTGCATATTCTTATAGCACATCTCGAGAG